AATAGTTTTTGAGACAAAAGTGGACCTAAAATCCCAACAGCGGTTCAGAAAGAGATCATGATGATGACAGTCAAACATGGTGATGGGGTGGGGATGTTTTGCTTTCTTTGAAAACTTTCCATAATTGCATTGATAATGAATTTTGCTCTATAGCAGATAATCATGAAGAGGTTTATAAAGCCATTAGTACAGAACCTTAAAGGTGCTCCTTCACATTCTATGCCTTTAACTAACAGCCAAATTAAATTATTCATGCTAAAATAAAGAATGATGGTGTTTACTTTGTCCTTTTTTTAAGCCTGAAAAATAATTTTTTTGCACGGCGGCAATCAGCACACTCAAACATAGTTGTCTGCCATCTGCTGGCAGTACTTCAAGCATTATTCAGCCTTGTAGCTTCTGCACCTTTAGCTCTTGCTTCAGCGATCACCAACATTCACACTGCATTCTGAGTGCCATCAATGTGTTATCACTTGGCATCAAATATTTTTTTGCTCTTGATCTTGAGCTTTTCCTGTCTGCTCACTCCTTTGCTAGGAATTGCTAACCTCTTTTACTTCTTTGTTCACTCATTGCATGCATCACACATCCGGTCGGATGATTCTCTCACGGTAGATACTTACAATGGCTGCGTTTACTGACAATTGGACCAAAAACAAAGCACAGACGTAAAATATATTAAGGGTGCTGTAATTTGATCAGCAACCTTTGTATGCAACCAGAGTGAGTTACTGGTGCATAAAGCCATAGTGCATGACTTGGTCTCTTTTAAGAATAATCAAATTTTAGTTCTGCAGTAAGACAGTGATCCAAAGCACAGCAGTAAAGCCACATCTCAACGGCTTCAATGTGGATTTGTGGGAGTTTCAGGGTTGCAGTTAACAGTTTAATAGATTAATTGAATAATAATAATTTTATATATATATATATAAAGCAAGTTCCTTCTTATATATTCTGTTATAGTAATGTTAAATTATATTTTAAGAACATAACTGTTCTTAAAATAAAGAGCCTTATATTCATC